CGTCCACCACCACCGCCACCGTCCACCACTACCACCGTTCACCACCGTCCACCATCACCATTGTTAAATATAGTATGTATATATTTAATATTAATGTTGTAATCATTGTTAATATGGTAGTTGCCTTGTATAGGATTCCTTTGTACTATATATACGAGGCTTAGCCCTCCATCATTAATCATAGAAATTAATCATTCTTCATGGTATCAGAGCCTTCGTGCCATTCTCTCTCGTCTCAACTAAGCATCGCTGCAAAACCCTAGCAGCCCGCCTCCCTCTCTCTCGGCCGAACAGCTCACGACCGCCGGTCTCTCTCACCGGTGACCCTCGGCGGTGAATCCTCTCCCTCGGCATCCCTCTCTCCCTTGGCAGTCTCCTCCTCTCCTTAGCAGGCCACCATGTCCGAGAAAACACCCGTCACCGGCGCACCATCATCTTCACCGACTCCCCACTTGGCTTTCACGACCATCTCCAACGTGAAGCTCCATGTTCTGATCCTTCTCAGCTTCTCCGAGCCCAACTACAAAAAGTGGAGTCGGCTCTTTCTTCTTCTCATCCGCCGGTTCTCTCTTGGTGATTTTCTCACCGGCAAGTCTACTCCGTCTAGCGCCGACGACTCCGAGTGGTTTCAACTCGACGCCCTCATTCAAGGATGGATACTATCAACGGTGAATGACGAAGTTTGCGATCTTGTCCTCTCCACCACCAACTCGGCTTCGGAGTTATGGCAAACAATCTACAATCTCTTCCACGACAACAAGGCGGCCCGAGCCATCCAACTTGAGCACCAATTCCGCACTACAACGAAGGGCTCACTCTCCATGGCCGTCTATTGCCAAACCCTACGGAACCTAGCCGATTGGTTGGACGACGTTGATGCCACCGTCTCCGAGCAACAACTAGTCCTACAGGTCCTTCGTGGCCTTCCGGATGATCTACGGGGCCAAACGTCCTTTCTCCAGTACCAAACGCCGCCCCCGACTTTTCTTCAAACCCGCTCGGCACTACTTTTAATTGAACAACAACGAGCAGATTTGGGGGT